TTGAGTTTGTGCTATGGCTAGCTTTTCTTCAATTCAGCTGTAGTCTTTTCATGAGGCATGCCTGATTGAGCATTTTCTATAATAATAATAAGTTGTGCTATAATTATAATAAAGAAATTTCTTCCAAGTTCTTATGTATTACTCATTTCTTTCGTCCTCATAATTCTTAAAATGATAGGGGGAGGAACATTACTTCCGTATCCATTCCGTCGAGATTTAAATTTATGCTACAAGTGTGTAATTTTTAATTAAAAGATCTTCAAGAAATCATTTTTTAAGATTATAGGCTAGTTAAACACTATTTTTATTTATACATTTCGTGAAATTCATAGTTTATATTTACATTTTGTAGGATCCACGACTTATAATTTAGAAAAAGCATTACTAAACATACCCCAAGTGAGTTGGTACAAGTTGAAATGTGACTTATAGGTAGTCATAAGAGCTTGCTGAATATCCTTTTTAGTGCTACTTGTGTCAATGTCCCAAAGCCATTTGCTTTCCTACCAACCCGTTAAGTTTGGTCTAAATTAAAGTAAATGGATACCTTCACATGATGGGTTACCAATTGGGTTTGATCCTCTGAAATGAGCTTCTTAGATGGCCCAAAACCAAATTTAAAAAAATGATTAAATAAGTAAATCCACAAAAGCACAACATTTTTCTTATTTCTACAGAATTAACTAGATGAAGTATGTTTCAATTAATTATTATCCTCACTTTAGATATTTATAACGTATTTGATACATGCAAATATTTGGCGCATTCGGAATTTGAAAGTAAATAAATGAAAAGGAGGTAAATGCACAATATCAAAATATCAAGATTACATTATTTGTTCAATTTTATTGTCGCGTTTATAACTAATTAGTTGAATCGCATAATTATCTAGTTTATTTTGTAGCTTTGGCTTAATATATTTGAAAATATATTGCCGCGCATCATGTGCACCACCATTAAAGTGCGAGTAATTTAAAAACAATTGAAAGTATTAGTTTTGGAGCTTTAGACAAAGGATTTATAATTTAGAAAGAAATTGATGTTATTATCTGGAAATAATTTGCAATTGTTATTATTAAATTTTTTAATTGAGCAATGCCACATCAACATTGGACCAATATACAAATTTGCAAGCGGTATGAATTTTCATCGGAGGGAATTTGAAGGCTTTGGCCTGGAAGAAGATGGCTATACTTTTTAGATAATTGATTTTCCTTACCAAGTTCGTAATTTTAAAGGAAACTAAGGGGATGTTTGTGCCCCATTATTTGTGAATAATATATTATGGAATAGTGATTAATGTTGAAATGTGTGGTTAAAAAAGAAAGAAAAGTCTTTGATTTACGTGTGATATTATTTTAATAAAGAATGCGTGATTGAAAAATGAGTATTGTAGAAAAAATAATGTGGTAGAATGGTAGACAAACAAAACCTAAGTTATGTACTGACAATGGTGACTCGACCTTAGTATCAAATGATATATTGTGCGCATAATGTTATGGATATAGACCTTTCACATGCTAATTTGGGCATTTTTGGAAAAGTTATGACTAGTAGGTATTATTTTATATTGACAATTATATTCACACGACATCTTTTCATAAATAAATAACATTTTAATTAAATAAAAAGTTTTTACCCTTTATTAAATTATTATATTTATACTAACTTTTTTCATCACATTTTTATCTTTAACCTTTCATTAACTAGTAAATCTTGTGCTTAATCGCAATTTCGTCCAAAATTACTGTTATTGTGTGATAAAAGGAGGGAGAAATATTTATTTATAATTTTATAATTTAATTTTGCTTATTTAAAATACAAGAGGTAAATAAGTCTTTGGACAATTTTAATGAAAATCTTGAACAAAAATTGTAATCAAGGATACATTGCGTTAATTTAAGAATACAAATATGATTAAAAATTTGGGGATATAAATATGATAATGAGTAAAGACTTTGAATCATTCATTTAATTAAAATGTGTTGTAGTTATTAAAAATCGTGGCGTGAATATATCTACCTTCTGATATTCTATTGATGAAAGAGAATTTTCATCAACTTCTTCGAATATTTATTGATGTTGCCAAAAAAAAAAAATAATAAATAAAGAAGAATATAAATATAGGAGGAAGAGTTGAACCAACCTTCAGTCAATAAAAGTACCCAAAAATATTTTAGGACATATTTGAGATGTTTTATGAACATGTTGTCTTGTACACCCTCGTCACACTTCAACTAGCAAGATGGTAATGCACGGGTATTTCAATGGGAAATGTCATTTGTACAATGTTTTCTTACTTTATTGTTAACAACATTGGTAGGTGGAAAAAAAAGTGTTGGATGGGACTATAAATTATTTTTTAAACTATCTAATGGCAACATGCCACATGCCACGTGGCATGTTGTCAAAACCGCTGTAAAAAAATATTGTACATCAAGTATGATGTTATTTAAATACCATAGAGGTATGATTTTTTGGAGCTTTAGAAGGCAGATTAAAAATTTCGATTATTTTAAAAATTTCGCCTTTGTTGTTAAATTTTGAGTTTTACTGCATCGTAGTTAGTATTGATAGTTAAGAAATTCAAATAGAATTGGTCGCTTTGAATTTTTAATGGTCGAATTCTCGCTCGTAAAGGGTAATTTACCGAGTTTTTGTAGTCAAATTTCAAGTGTTACTTGATTAATGAAATTTTCAACGTTTAATGAGTATGGTTAATCACGTACCTTTATGCACAAAAATGAAGAAAGTTTTAAAAATAAATTGTCGTAAATCCTGTCACATCGTATTTATTTAATAATTAATTAGTAGGGATTCATGGAAAATTCAAAGTAAATTGTTTAAATTTTTTAGAAAAATTGCATCTACAACTTCACTGATTTAAATGTTTTTGTTTTCTTTCAAAAATGTCAAATTACATGCCTACAAGATGATATAAGTCACATTCATTTGTGAGGGAAAATGGAATAGCAATTTCTTGACCAAGACTTACATCCTAAAGTTCCAAATTGCGAGTGATTATCGCATAGTGCTCGAGAAACTGATTTGACTTTGTTTGGTCCTCAATTTCCATTTTATGAAATTGGATGAAGTTATCTTAATTGAAATATAGTTAAAGTATAATTATTTGATTGAAATCAACGTAGCAACTAGGCCATTTTTGTGGCTTGGGTTAGCAGCCACGTAACCTTTATATGGCGTTACTTTCAAAGTTTGTATAAATATTTAACCCAAAATACCAATCCGATAATCTCTACTTTGACTGTTGTATACCTGGTAGCACCTCCTACTTAGAGAATCATAAATGATGAACGTCACTTGGATTGCAGAAATAGATGACGTGACATCAAATAAGTAATTGTTGTAGATTTCCGTTTGTGAAATTTTACGAAATTACCTTTATAAAATAAAGTTTAGCTTGTGTCTGGGAGAAATTTTCGGAGATATGAAAATGAATTTTTTGACGTTTGTGGGCTCCTGCTGTATTTTTTTGAATTCCTTTGATGGAGGGTTATTGAAAATATTACCAACATACCCTTTGTACTATGGTGAGAATGGGGTGGGGCTTTGTATGGAGGGGTATCATTGTAAAATCATGCATGATTATTGTCGTGGCAGAATTTTGATTTTGGAGTCAATAATTACGGCTCCAAACAGCCAGATTTTTTTTATTAAAATCAGGGAAGAATTGCTCTTAAACAAACTCTTTAATTTTCTTTATTGAAATTAAGCCTCCGTTTAACCTCCATTATGTGGTCATTTTAATTTTTAGAATAATATTTTTTTGAAGAATGTGTGGTTGAAAAAGATGTAAAAATTTTTAATTTACGTATAATATTATTTTATGGAAGATTGTGAGATTGAAAAAAATAAATTTTTGGAATAATGGGGTCAAACAAGGGCTAAGTAAAGTTATAGTTATCCAATTTATAATACAAAAATATAATTACTCAATTGCATACAAGTATAATAAATTACGAGTTTGACAGTGTGAAATAATATTTACCACAAAATAAAAATACAATTGGCACCATTAAATCCAAGTCCAACAAACAATCCCCACATTTCATTGACACCATGTTTTTGATTATCAAGTCTTCTCGTTGGTCTCCACTAAACAGTTGGTCAGTTCGTCGCCACACACAAATAACATAGTATTATATAAAAATAAGTTTAAATCATTTTTATTAGGGTACATTGCAGCAGGGATCTCAAATATTTTCAAAAATGTATCTTGAAGTCTCAAACCTTTAAATTAATATGTAGCTCTAGGTTTCTTAAACAGTTTCCATCCTAATTGATGGCGATTTGACATTAACGACATACATGGATGTTTAAAATGTATTTCAATGACTCCAATCTATATGTCTTTATAAGCGTGTGACGTTAAAAAAGTTTGAAGATAAAATTATATATACATTTCAAAAATTCTAGGTTATACTACTAAATAGTTTTGAAAATATAGTGACGATACTATATGTTAAACTACCTATATAAATATCCAAAACGAATTTTTAAAAACCACGGTGATTCTACATTGAATGACCCATATTGAGGTTTAAAACAAATTTCAATAGCTCCAATTAATCTAGTATACATGATCTCAAATTGTGTTACGATTTTAAAAGGGTTTGGAAACCACGTTAAAATACGCTTCAAATATCCAATTGTAGGTTTTACCAGTGGCGGATCCAGGTAGTGGCGAGCTTGGGCGGCCGCCCAAGTTGGATCCGCCGGAGTCTTCACTAGCCGTCGGGTGGAAGATTGGAAGTTGCAGAGCTGCGACTGAACTGAAGAAGGGAGGATCGGAGGAGGAAGATGAAATTTTGAATTTAGGTCCTTTTTTTTTTTTTTTTTTTAGTTTAGTCCTTTTTCTTTGGGCTGATGAGTTGGGCCTCTTTGTTTGAAAAAAAAATTAGACCGAATCCATGGATGATGATTGGTGGATACATACACATAACTGCAACCACACCTCCAAATAAGAGGCAATAATTGTAGCAAACCCTTTTGTAACTGCTCTCCTTCTCCCTGCTGTTGGCCACAGATGTTATTACTTATTTCGGTGGTCAAAACCTCAATTGGTAATGGTGGCATTAGAAATAGGATGCCTATGTGTTGGTGAGAAACTTCTAAGTTCTAATGGCTCATTTTTTCGATTTCCATGTGTCTGCCTTGGATTAATGCAAATTATGCAAACTTGTAAACTTACTTTTATGTTTAATAATATCTTTTTCAGGAAATAAGAATGGGCTACTCTTGCCTCACACAGAGTCCGCCTGAGTGTCAATCACGCATGTGACTTGTGAGGCCTCTCTTCTCTTTCACGTTTTTTTGTTTGTTTGTTTGTTTTGTTTTTGTTTTTTGTCCTTTTAATTCATTTTTTGATTTATCTTTTATTTTTGAGCTATGAATCTATCATCTATGACTTGTGTTTTACTAGTTATGATTTATGTTTTATGTTTTATGAGTTATAACTGTGATTTGTGATAAATAATTCAAGATGAAATCCCTACCTTCTAGTTCTAGTTCGTGTTAGGTTGTTGCTAGTTCATTAGATTTGGAAGATTATAAATAATTTGAACTTTGTTAATATACTAAATTAATAATACTTGTTAATTAACTTTAATTATAAACTGAATATTGGTATTTTGTTAATATATATTGCCTGTTTAATTGAAAAATAAATTAAGGCAATTTTGCAGATTATGGAACTATTTTTTCATTCGAAATGAAAGTTTGTACATAGTTCCAGTTCTAATGGTGCATCTAGTTCTAGTCCGTACGATTTTTTGATTACTATTTAATTAAATATTAATAAACGATTCGCCTATCACGGATGCTGACTGTTGATAGTTAACGTTCAACGTTCGCGGTCCACCCTAGTTGAACTAAGACCCTGGATTCGCCCTTGGGTTTTACTATTGGATACTTTCGTGAAAAACAGTGATAAATTTCTGTGAAACCCCAAATAATTCTAGACACCTTAGTAGTACTAAGACATGAATATTGATGACTAAAGTATACTTCAGATTTTTAGTCTCATTTGAGACCCATTTTTGACATAGGAAACATTCGATTTGGAAAATGATATCTAAATAAAAGTTGTAGCTCTTTGAGTTAACTTTCCAACGCATTTTGAATTACCTTAATCGGATATCGGGAAAAGAAGTTATGATAGAAACACTGAAAGCTGTGCAATGTCAACCGGTCGACCGAAACTGCCTGAAATGAAAATTCTCGTTTTTCTCTAGAATTTAAATATTCATTTTCATCAATTATTTTCTCAAAGGGCCACCCACGTTTTTGGCAATAAAAACCCCACTAAATTGAAGCATTTAACCTCAAACTTAAATGACACCCATAATTTTTCTCTTAAATAAAATTTGACCCTTCATTTACTTTAAGTTATGGGATATTTACCTATAAATAGAGATCTCATTTCACTCATTTTTTCTCACACCAAAAGCAAGAGCTTTTACATACTAAAGAAAGAGTTTCCAAGAGAGAAAAAAAGAGGGAGGAAAATTATTTTTCCTAGAAATTTAAGAAGTGTTTTCAAGCATCAATTCTCAACGGTTTTCAAACATCCAAGGAGTGCATTTCTTTCAACGTCCAAGTTTCATCGAAATTTTCAATCCAAATTTTCAAAGTTTCAAAAGCATCAATCAAGGTAGGTAGAGGTGCAATGTGTTTAATCGTGTTAAGTTATAAGTTTCGATTCATGTTAATGTTTGTATGTCAAATGGTACTCCAGTACAGTATATCCCTCTATGTTAATGGTTGTATGTCAAATGGTACTCCGGTACGGCATACCCCTCTATGTTGAAGAAATGTTCGTATGTCAAATGGTGCCCTCGGGTACGGCATACCCCTTCACGTCAAATGGTGCCTCCGGGCACGGCATGTATGAAAAGTTATAAAGTTAATATTTTGAAATGTATAGCTTGATCACAAATGTATCTATGACACCTATTGAGTTTTTCAACTCACGGGTTTAATCCCATCTCTACAGATTGAAGGAATTCTACTTCGGGCATGGATGGAGGAGAAGATGGAGAGTGATGCAACGAGCCCATGAAAATCCGGTGAATAAGTGATTTGAATTTATTTTATGAAATGTTTTCCAATGTTATTTTTTTAAAGTTTTGAATAACGCAGAATGCGATAACAAGTTATGTTTTCTTCAAATAAATTACATTTTATTGTTTTGAAAAATGATTCAGTGTTTTTGTTTAAAGTATTTGAAGTATTGTTATTTAAATTATTATTCGAAAATGTAAATTTCCACCAAAACGTATACACTTGTTACTAAACTACCGGTTAAACTAAGTAAAGTAAGTAGCGTTCTGGTCTACTAAGGGTTGGGGCGTTACAATTTCAGTGGCTCTAATCTACTATATATGATACCATTGGCGTGTTAATATGTTGAAAATGTTTTGAAATCAAATTAAAAGTCCTTTTTACAATTCAATGGTAGGTTATATTATTGAAGAGTTTTGGAAAAAAAACTATATTGATATTTCATTGAATAACATCTATAAATATTCAAAATGTGTGTTAAGATATTGAAAACATTTGGAAATCAAATATATATACTTTTTGGGATTCAATGGAGGGTTATATTATTGTATTGTTTTGACGAAAACAGTGGTGAATCGACATTGAATGACCTATACGGATTTTTTGGAGCTTTAGAAGGTAGATTAAAAATTTCGATTATTTAAAAAAATTCGCATTTGTTGTTAAATTTTGAGTTTAATTGTGTCACAATTAGTATTGATAGTTAGGAATTCAAATAGAATTGATCGCTTTGAATTTCTAATGGTCGAATTCTCGCTCATAAAGTGTAATTTACCGAGTTTTTGTAGTCAAATTTCAAATGCTACTTGATTAATAAAATTTTCAATGTTTAATGAGTACGGTTAATCACGTACCTTCATGCACAAAAATGAAGAAATTTTCGTAAATCCTGTCACATCGTATTTATTTAATAATTAATTAGTAGGATTCATGGAAAATTCAAAGTAAATTGTTTAAATTTTTTAGAAAAATTGCATCCACAACTTCACTGATTTAAATGTTTTTGTTTTCTTTCAAAAATGTCAAATTACAAGCCTACAAGATAATATCAAGTCACATCATTTGTGAGGGAAAATGGAATAGCAATTTCTTGACCAAGACTTGCATCCTAAATTTCCAAATTGAGAGTGATTATCGCATAGTGCTCGAGAAACTGATTTGAATTTGTTTGGTCGTCAATTTCCATTTTATGAAATTGGATGAAGTTTTCTTAATTGAAATCTAGTTAAAGCATAATTATTTGATTGAAATCAACGTAGCAACTAGGCCATTTTTGTGGCCTGGGTTAGCAGCCACGTAACCTTCATATGGCGTTACTTTTAAAGTTTGTGTAAATATTTAATCCAAAATACCAATCCGATAATCTCTACTTTGATTGTTGTATACCCGGTAACACTTTCTACTTAGAGGATCATAAATGATGAATATCGGTTGGGGCCCCCAAGGTTGGGGTTCAACCATTTTTTCATAAATGATGAATATCACTTGGATTGCGGAAATCGATGACATGACATTAAATAAATAATTGTTGTAGATTTCCGTTTGTGAAATTTTACGAAAGTACCTTTATAAAATAAAGTTTAGCTCGTGTCTGAGAGAAATTTTAGGAGATATGAAAATGAATTTTTTGACCGTTTGTGGGCTCCTGCTGTATTTTTTTGAATTCCTTTGAGGGAGGGTTATTGAAAATATTACCAACATACCCTTTGTACTATGTTGAGAATGGGGTGGGGCTTTGTATGCCCCCATTATGTGGCCATTTTAATTTTTAGAATAATAATTTTTTAGAGAATGTGTAGTTAAAAAAATGTTAAAATTTTCAATTTACGTATAAAATTATTTTATGAAAGATTGCGTGATTTAAAAGAAAGAGAAAGAAAAATAAATTTTTGGGATAATAGGGGCCAAACAAGGGCTAAGTAAAGTTATAGTTATCCAATTTATGATACAAAAATATAATTACTTAATTGCATAAAATTATAATATAATTACGAGTTTGACAATGTGAAATTAGAGGTTAATTATCCAAATGGTCACTATACTTTGCAAAAAAAATTTCACCGGGGTAGTGAATTTTAAAAATCACCTAAGTCGTAACTAAACTTGCAAAAGGTTTACATGGGATCACTGAACTTTAAAAATTACTCTATTCATTATTGAACTTTTTAAAAGATTTCTACGAGATCACTGAATTTTGGAAAAACTTTTCCAGGGGTCACCGAACTCAGTGACTCCTGGGAAAGTTTTTGTAAAGTTCAGTAATGAATGAGATAATTTTTAAAATTCAGTGACCTCGTGAAAGCCTTTGTAAAGTTCAGTGATCCCGTGAAATTTTTTTACAAAATTTAGTGACTCCGTGAAAAATTTTTGTAAAGTTCAGTGATCATTTAGATTATTAACTCGTGAAATTATAGTTACCGTAAAATAAAAATGCACTTGGAAACATTAAATCCAAGTCCAACAAACTATCCATAACTGTGTCCCCACATCTCATTGACTTCATATTTACGATTATCGAGTCTTCTTGTTGGTCTCCACTAAACACTTGGTCAGTTCGTTGCCACACACATAAAAATAAGTTTAAATCATTTTTATTAGGGTACATTGCAGCAGAGATCTCAAATATTTTCAAAATGTATCTTGAAGTCTCAAACCTTTAAATTAATATGTAGCTCTAGGTTGCTTAAACACTTTCCGTCCTAATCGATGGAAATTTGACATTAATGACATACACAGATGTTCAAAATGCATTTCAATAACTCCAATCTATATGGTTTTATAGGCGTGTGATGTTGTTAAAAAAGTTTGAAAATAAAATTATATATACATTTCAAAGAATCTAGGTTATACTGCTAAATAGTTTTGAAAATATAGTGACAATATTATAATAAACTACCTATATAAATATCCAAATCGAATTTTTAAAAACCCCGTGATTCTACATTGAATGACCCATATTGATGTTTAAAACAAATTTCAGTAGCTCCAATTAATCTAGTCTATATGATCTCAAATTGTGTTACGATTTTAAAAAGGTTTGGAAACCACGTTAAAATACGCTTTGAATATCCAATTGTAGGTTTTACTATTGAATACTTCCGTGAAAAACAGTGATGATACTATATTGGACTATTAAAAGTTCAAAATGAATTTCAGTGGCTCTAATCTACTATATCTGATACCATTGGCGTGTTAATACGTTGAAAATGTTTCGAAATCAAATTAAAAGTCTTTTTTACAATTCAATGGTAGGTTATATTATTGAATAGTTTGGGAAAAAAACTATAGCGATATTATATTGAATAACATATATAAATATTCAAAATGTGTGTTAAGATATTGAAAATGTTTGAAAA